GCGACTTTTTAGTCCCCGTTCGGACGCAGTCCGAAAACGGGGACTTATGTTTTGACCTCCGTGTGTCCGTGCGTGAGTGCGTGCGTCTGTGCGTGCGTCCGGACCTGTATCTTAGAAATGCCTGGACCAATCAAAATCAAACTTCACACATACATCATACATGATATTATACATATGCACGTCAATTTTTTTCACAATCTGATTCAAGATGGCCATTTTTGTGCTAAAATCATCAAAATCAAACATTTTTCAGCTGTTTACAGATGGATTTTGTTCAAACCTTGTATACTGTAAAGGGGGTAATTATTCACTGGGTTTTAATTTAGCTTATTTCGCTGACTGGAGAAATGCGCTAAATTAAAACACAGTGAATATGTAAAATTTAGCATAGAACACATTATCTAAATGACGAAACCGTGAATTTAAAACCCACTGAATATGCCTGAAATGGTAAATCAGTGAAATTTAAACCCAGTGAAAATTAGTCATTTTACAGTATACGTTGGACATTATAGGACCTTGATGCACATCATTTTGTTTTACGATCTGATTCAAGATGGCCATATGGCGGCCATTTTTGTGCTAAAAAATCATAAAAATCAAGCATTTCTCGGCTGTTTACAGATGGATTTTGTTCAAATTTAGTATATACATTAGACATTATGGGACCTTGATGCACATCATTTTGTTTCACGATCTGATTTAAGATGGCCTAATGGCGACCATTTTTGTGCTAAAAAATCCTAAAAATCAAGCATTTCTCGGCTGTTTACTGATGGATTTTGTTCAAACTTGGTATATACATTAGACATTATGGGACCTTGATGCAAATAATTTCGTTTTTCAGATAAGATTAAAAATGGCCATTATGTTTTAATGAATGTGGTTCTCGTGCCATATCTCTGACTTGCTTTCACTGATTATGTTCCAATTTCAAATATTCATTATACATGTACATCATGTCATATTGGTTTGACGATCCTATTCAAAATGGCCAAATGGTGGCCATGTTTGTGCTAAAAAATCATAAAATATCAAGCATTTCTGGCATTTATGGATGGATTTTGTTCAAACTTGGTACATATATTAGACATTACAGGTTCCTGATGCACATCATTTATTTTTCAGATCGGATTCAAAATGAATGTCTGGCGGCCATTTTGTTTTAATGAATGGGCTTCTAGAGCCATATCTCTTAAATGCCTTGACTGATTATATATTCAAATTTTATATATTCGTTATACATCATGTTATATATATACATGTATTCAAAATGGCTGATTTTGAATGCTGTTCCAGAGCAATATCTCTCAATATGGACAAGTACTTGTTTGACAATCAGATACAAATGTCAATCATTTTAATGTTAAAAAATCATATTCCTGACATGGTTATATTCCAGATATATACTATAAATAAAATTATATATCTTAAATTTGATAACTAACGGGGACTGTGCCATGCATGGTTTGTTTTAAATTGTTTTAGTTGTTGACATGTATGAAACAATACATCACAAAACACACATTTTCAACATTATTGCATCTTTAATGATAACTACTGGTACATGTGAAGATTAGTTTTATATAACTGGTATCAGAGGTACATTACTTGGGGTTTGCAACTATGGTGACATGATACCAAGATCCCGTCACAATCTCGCTCTCGCATATGCGTTCCAACTCAGAAAAAATGCGAATGCGCATGCCTGAGGTAACTAGGATACTTGGATGTCCAGGTGGATCAAAATAGCTGCCCACGATATTACGGATTACGAGAACTATATTTTCTGTACATTTTCAATGTATTACATTTTTCACTATGATAGTGACAAGAAAAGTTTATTTTTTTCATTACAAACCTTGAACATTGATATGCGTCATGTCAGAAGGTCGTAGCCTCAGTCTCGCTATCTACGAGAAGAGACTTGAATGGGATCTTGACATGATGTCACCATACAGTACTATGTGAGTTGCAAACCCCAAGTAATGTACCTCTGCTGGTACTTATTTTAGCTGATACAGTAATTTGGTATTTTGTCACTAAGAGTAGCGGTAATTGATTAAAGGAATTCACACAATAACCGTACCAAACACACGATACCATATGTTTTATAGATAACACACTTGGTACATACTTTGATATCATTGGAGGAAAAAGTTAATGAGTTTGATTTGGTACTCACCCTGGATGCCTTCACCTTGTATGACAATATAGTAATGCCACCAGTGAAAAATGCGGTAATCAAACCAGAATTCATGATACTGTAATACAACAAGACATATTATCTATCAGTAAGTGTTGTCAGTAGATAATTCCATTCTTTTTTTGGCAGGGGATGATGATGATGGTACAGCAATTTGGTTCAAGCCGTAAATATGGGGTGCGTACTGGTCGTTCAGTTCTTTTTGACCAAATCAATTTTATTGTTTCAATGAGTTCTTGTTCCTAATAAACTTTTTAGTTTAGCCGAGATCATTTCGTGACGATATCTTGAATTTTCTATGTTTAGCTAATATTGTTGTCATTTTCGATGAAAATGCTATTTTTGACTTTTTCCTAAAAACCGCTACTCTAATTGCTTTAATACTTATTACATGTGTACTTTGGGTGGACTTCTATTAGATTTAAATATTTCATGATCAAACCTTCAATTCTGTAATTTTAGCGAATATTTCTGTCATTTCTGCTAAGAAAAAAGCCATTTTACTTTTTGATTGATTGATTTGATACATTGTAGCAGCGTAAATATAATAGGGGAGCTGGAGGTGAAGTTGCTGCAAAAATATCAGGAAAAACTTTTGATGGTGTCCATTACTGATTTTGTATCAGTATTGACTATGTAATAGATTCAATGTATGTTGGAGATATCTCCCTGGCCCAGTTGTAGGTTTTATTTCTGTGATTGTCACTTGTAGCAACCTTTTATTTACTAGCTAGATTATGTTTTTAGTGAAGGTTCTTGAATTCTCATGCTTGTATATTTTATTTTCTGTTCAAAAATTTTTGATTTTTTTCCTCAAGATCTCACCTGAACAAGTTAAGATTATTATGGTTCAGTGAATCCATCACATAATTCCATCTATGTGACCATTTGACATCCTTCTCCTCCTGCAATGAAAACAAGACAAGCATCAAATGAGCACATACTGATGAGTATATAATGACGGCAATACCATAATAGTCATATTTTCCCAGAGAGAATGAACAACTCAAAAACAGAATAATTTTTGGGGCAGTTCTTGAGGGTAAAAAGTGTGTCTTAAAAATGTAATTACCTGACTTGTCAAAATATGTTTTATATATAACATATTCCACCTACAATATACAGTCAAACCTGTCTATAGTGGCCATGCAGGGGACTTTGAGATTTTGGCCTTCACAGACTAATTTATTTGCTAATTTATTCATGAATAGTTATTAGGCATTGAATCAATGTATTAAGACAGATCTCGCAACCCCATTTCACATACACTATCACACTACTGTACACAGTATCCAAACACTTTAGTAACTAACTATTTTGGACTGTAGGCAGAGTCAGATGCCGATAGGTGGCGGGTTTCCAAGTTTACAAGTTAGTAATCGCACTGACCTCATGTGCCCATACTTGGTGTCTCTGTAAACCCTGTGTCGAGGAAGCCTATTGGTTATAAACCTCAAGCCTGGTCGCAGTGATCCACCTGGCAACGGAAGTCAGGGAGGCTGGTCTGTCCCTGCTTACCCTGGCCATGGAAGTCAGGGAGGCTGGTCTGTCCCTGCTTACCCTGGCCATGGAAGTCAGGGGGGCTGGTCTGTCCCTGCTTACCCTGGCCATGGAAGTCAGGGAGGCTGGTCTGTCCCTGCTTACCCTGGCCATGGAAGTCAGGGAGGCTGGTCTGTCCCTGCTTACCCTGGCCATGGAAGTCAGGGAGGCTGGTCTGTCCTGCTTACCCTGGCCATGGAAGTCAGGGAGGCTGGTCTGTCCCTGCTTACCCTGGCCATGGAAGTCAGGGAGGCTGGTCTGTCCTGCTTACCCTGGCCATGGAAGTCAGGGAGGCTGGTCTGTCCCTGCTTACCCTGGCCATGGAAGTCAGGGAGGCTGGTCTGTCCCTGCTTACCCTGGCCATGGAAGTCAGGGAGGCTGGTCTGTCCCTGCTTACCCTGGCCATGGAAGTCAGGGAGGCTGGTCTGTCCCTGCTTACCCTGGCCATGGAAGTCGAGGAGGCTGGTCTGTCCTGCTTACCCTGGCCATGGAAGTCAGGGAGGCTGGTCTGTCCTGCTTACCCTGGCCATGGAAGTCGAGGAGGCTGGTCTGTCCTGCTTACCCTGGCCATGGAAGTCGAGGAGGCTGGTCTGTCCTGCTTACCCTGGCCATGGAAGTCGAGGAGGCTGGTCTGTCCTGCTTACCCTGGCCATGGAAGTCGAGGAGGCTGGTCTGTCCTGCTTACCCTGGCCATGGAAGTCGAGGAGGCTGGTCTGTCCTGCTTACCCTGGCCATGGAAGTCAGGGAGGCTGGTCTGTCCTGCTTACCCTGGCCATGGAAGTCGTGGAGGCTGGTCTGTCCTGCTTACCCTGGCCATAACACATAAACATGTGCTTGTTGCCATGCCTAGCCTCTTTAGTCACTAGGATCGATGTCCCCCCCCCCCAATCACCCCACGGCATGGCTCGCAGAGTAATCATAAAGAACACCAATTCCACTACCCCAAAAAACGATACAGACATTTTTCCATCATATATGAATCCTTTCGATAACTTACTTTTCACTTTTATTTTCGTTTTTTTTGCTGAAGGAATGAATCTGTGAAAATTTAATCTAAATATAATACTCTTTTTTCCTATATTTACTTTCAACTCATCAAAAAACAGGGAAAATAAACTTCATACAAAACAAAGAAAATGTCATTGCAGGAAAAATAAAAGTATTTTACAGTATGTAAACATGAGGATATACACGATGCTACTTTGGATATATTCAACATTACTATTCTAAAATTTCATATTGTGTATGACATGGCTTTTAGACTTACCTGATATATAACAGTGTAGGAATACTTGACAAGAATCTCAGTGAAGTTAGGAGCAAATTCCATGGCAGCGTTGTCAAGGTTACAGCTGGTAATACCAGTTGCATCATGGTTAATACTAGGAGAAACCAAGAAAGATATAAATTTCATCAATAATCATCATAATTTTAATGAAAGCTACCTTGCTACAGGAATGTTTCTGACAATAATGTCATGTGATCAAAGATGGTGACTTCAGCATAGTTTTTTATTACACAACAAAATACAGTAAAACGTCTTTTTAACTGGCATGTCATTTTAGCTAATTTAGCCAAAGACACTAGAAAAAGATTTAGCTAACTAAAGTATATTCTCACAATGAGATTATTGGTATTTTAGCTAACTTAATATTTTGTTCATTCATGCATTGAGTCAAATTCGCTAAAATGACATGTAGCTATTTCAATGTGTTTTATGGTAGTTTTATTTGAGTTGAACTATGTCTGGTTAAAATTATTCTTTTGAATGCCAAATAAATTGCTGTCACCTTTAAAAAAATATATAAGCAAACTGGTCCACAATCTTTCAAAAATGTTGATTAAGAATTTTACTAATGGCAAATTAAGTCCATTTAGGCCAAAAATTAACAAAAAATTATAAAAAAAAAAATGTTCAAAACCTTTTTCTATCAATCTAAAAATAGCTTCATGTTTACTCTTGGGCATGTCAGATTACCGGTATACTACAATACCAAAGTGATTGATTACGTAGACCATTGTGATCAATAAATAATACCAGTACATGGTAAAAGAACACTCGGGCATACTAAATTGTGTCAAAAAATTGAATTATGAGTTCATAGGACCAGCCATAAATAAGAACAATGACTGTCAGTTGGCCATATTGGATGAAACCAAATAAAAGGTGTGTATGTACCAACTTTTTTCTGCTTTATAATAGCAAACATTATTTTATGTGTTTACATAATGCATTGCAACTGCCTCAAAATTCTGCTCATAGCATATAAAGTCAAATTTGTGTAAGCATGCATGATGGTTTTAAAATAATGTAACAACATCTGAAGTGTGAATAAATAACTGTGACAAGTGTTTATTCAAACGTCATTTTGTCAATTTTTATGCAAACGCAATTGGCCGCACTAATCTCCCACAATTCAATGCAATCACATGTACAGAAAGATTGCGAGAGTAATTTTTTGAGCTACTAAATTTTTATGGTTGTCGGCCAAAGATCAAGGGCTGTATGAAAAACCTCACCTGTAAGGATTGACTGTAACTTTGATAATATTCCCGTGTATTTCTCCATCATGTTTGATGTCATCAATGACGCTATATGTGATAACAAACTCCAAATGGTTGAATAGATAGTACGTGTCTGGTCTGTTAAATTTAGGCTGTAACAACAAAACATAAAAAAACTACTGAGAGCTTGCCCAACACCCTACCCTACCATTGAAGTGTACCCGTATATAGTATTACATAAAACGATTGGTATAATTGAGAAGAGAAGTGTGCTAAGCTTCTTTATCAAGAGAATGCGAGTTTTCATAAGCTTGGTTAGAGGTTGTAAACAAATTTTCATCTGCTATTTTTATCTGGTTCAAATCATTCAGCAGTCTAAGCCAATACTCAGTTCTGTAATCTGTCCTTTGAGCGACTTTTGTCACCTTTTATGAAATCAAATCTACATAACTTTTGCCAAAATTTTGATCATGTCCATTTGTTCCAAAATTAATATTCAAAATTAAAATATTTGATATTTGATGATTTTTTAGCACAAAAATGATCACCATTCGGCCATTTTGAATAGGATAGTCAAACCAATATATCTGTTTATCTATGACATGATGTATAATGAATATTTAAAATTTGAAAATATTATCAGTCAAAACAAGTCGGAGATATGGGTCTAGAAGCCCATTCATTAAAACAAAATGGCCGCCAGTCAGCCATTTTGAATTTAATCTGAAAAATAAATGATGTGCATCAGAAACCTGTTATGCCTAATATATGTACTAAGTTTGAACAAAATCCATCCATAAATGCCAGAAATGCTTGATATTTGATGATTGTTTAGCACAAAAAAGGCCACCATTCGGCCATTTTGAATAGGATCGTCAAACCAATATATCTATCTATGACATGATGTATAATGAATATTTAAAATTTGAACATAATCAGTGAAAGCAAGTCAAAAATGTGGCACGAGAACCACATTCTTTAATACAAAATGGCCGCCAGTCGGCCATTTTGAATCTAATCTGAAAAACAAAATTATTTGCATCAAGGTCCTATAATGTCTAATGTATATACTAAGTTTGAACAAAATCCATTTGTAAACAGCCAGATTTTGATGATTTTTAGCACAAAAATCGCCACCATTCAGCTATCTTGAATCAGATCGTGTAACAAATTGACGTGCATATGTATAATATCATGTATGATGTATGTGTGAAGTTTGATTGTGATTGGTCCAGGCATTTCTAAGATACAGGTCCGGACGCACGCACAGACGCACACACACACGTACGCACGGACACACAGAGGTCAAAACATAAGTCCCCGTTTTCGGACTGCGTCCGAACAGGGACTAATAATAAGGTTATTACGCACTCAGACAATACGCCATCACATCAAACTCTGATGCACGTTGGTCAATACTCTCACTGTACTGTCTTTGCGCATACTTTGAGGTATTCTCGTAACAACCTCATAATATCAAAGTACTAAAGAATACGAGACAAATTAACTATTACTTTAAGTGATGCATATTAACAAGCACAATTCGATTAACCAAAAAAATGACTTAATTTGCAACAATCATGGTAAATTAGTTAAATCATAGTTATGTAGTCATGGCACATAAACCATGCTTAGTTATATGCCGTAACCATCATGTGATTATGAATTGAAGCGGGAAGTCTTCACCCACACATGCAGGAATTGAGTCCCAAGCGACGATAACAACGCATGCTTAAAACGCAAAGGCTCATGGGTAGACGCTTGTTTGTAAACAACTACACGCTATGGCAGTTTGCCTCATGTGCAGGTGACGACACCCCCGCTTTAACTAATAGATGACTTACATCAATAACACAAGCATCTTGTTGTTGACCTGATGGCGTAACATAGCAACCCACAGGAAACATTGGTGAACAATAATTATCTGAGGTACGTGTCTGGTAACACCATAAAACAGGAACATCATCGATGTACCTAGAAATAATGTAGAAAAAATTACAGATTTAATGTTGCTGTCGCCATCAAATGGCCACTGTGGCTGGCGCCAAAGTCAACTTTCCTTTCCTTGTTAGATGTTTCTTAGATTTTGATCAACCCATATAATTACATACATTACTGCAGTTTATTTTGATTCGTTCCTGAAATCAAAATCGGTTTTTCCACACCCCCATATGCAAATGAGGTCTGAGAACAAACAAAGTAGTCCCTTTAGGAGAACAGTTTTTCGAAACATAGCAGAAATAAACAATATTTAGAAGTACGATATTTTCCCCTTGGGGTACATGAATATACTTGCCGAGTGAAATGAAATTTGAACAACAGTAATGGTACTTTTAGGCAGTCACTTATTTTGACTGAAGCTAATTTGCATATCAATCATGCAATAATGTTTTCCACATTTTCACGGGCAATATGCAAATAAACATGGTATTTCCATTGGCAACCACACTACATTTTATTTTGTAAAAAATTTTTCATCTGCT